AGTATACATGGGGTTGTTGTTGGCTATCGTCACTCTCCTGTGCTGTAGAGCACTGGGACGTCTTCCTTCTATCTGACTCTCACTTTTTTACCCATCGATTCCTCTCATTTCCCCTCTTCACTGCCCTTCGCAGCCTCTGGCAAACACCATTCCACTCTCCAGATCTAAGAGATCAACTTTCATAGCTTCCACATAACGAGTGAGCATTTGGTGATCGTCTTTCTTTAAAATTTTTGTGGAAATTTATTTTAGTTTTATTTATCTGAATGGCAGGAGGCAGGAAGAGAGAGAGAAAAAGAGAGAGAGGAGAGAGAGAGAAGAGAGAGAGAGAGAGAGAGAGAGAATCTTTCATCTGCAGGTTCCCTTGCCAAATGCCCTCAATAGCTGGGACTACTCCTGGCTGAAGCTAGGAGCCCAGAACAGAATCTGAGTCTCCCATGTGACCATGTGGCAGGGACCTAAGTGCTTAGTAATCAGCTGCTGCCTCCCAGGGTACACATCACCAGGAATGTAGAATTGAAAACAGAGCCAGAACTCAAATTCAGGTACTCTACTATGGGATATAGGTGTCCCAGGCAGCATCTTAACTGCTATGCCAAATAGCTGTCATGGCATTTGTTTTTCTGTGGCTGGCTTACTTCACTTAACACAATGATCTCCTATTCTATCCCTGTGGTAGCAAATCACAGAGTTTTGGCTGGCGCTGTGGCTCACTTGGCCATGGCTAATCCTCCGCCTGTGGCGCCGGCACCCCAGGTTCTAGTCCCAGCTGGGGCGCTGGATTCTGTCCCAGTTGCTCCTCTTCCAGTCCAGCTCTCTGCTGTGGCCCGGGAGTGCAGTGGAGGATGGCCTAATTGCTTGGGTCCTGTACCCACATGGGAGCCCGGGAGGAAGCACCTGGCTCCTGGCTTCGGATCGGCACAGCGCGCCACCTGCCGTAGCATCCGTTTGGGGAGTGAACCAACAAAAGGGAAGACCTTTCTCACTGTCTAACTCTGCCTGTCCAAAAAAAAAAAAAAAAAAAAAAAAAAACCCACAAATAACAGAGTTTCTTATGTCTAAGTAATATTCCATTGTGTATCTACACTCTACACTTCATATGTTCTTTTTCTGCTCACGTGTTGATAGACACTTGATTCCATATCTTGGCTATTGTGAACAGTGCTAACGTAAACACGAGAGTGCAAATGTTTCATTGGCATGCTTATTTCATTTCCTTTGTATAAATATCCAGTCATGGGATTCTGAGTCACATTTAGTTCTAGTTTTTTAGGGAAACTGTACGGTTTTCCACAATGGCTGTACTAATTTACATTTCCAACGACGGTGTGCAACATTCTCTTCTCCTCACATTCTCACCAGCACTTTTTCTATTTTTTGATGGGGTAAGATGTTATCTCATTGTGATGTCAATTTACAGAGTCCTGATGAATAGTGATGTTGAACATTTTTCCGTGTACTTGTTGACCATTTGTTTGTCCTTTGAGAAACGTCTACTCCAATCATTTTCCTAATTAAACAGCTGGATTATTTGTTTTTTGCTCTTGAGTTTTTCAGTTCCTTGTACGTTCTGGGTAATCCTTGTCAGATGAACAGTTTACATAGTCAACAATCAACTAAAAATGTTAAAGACTTAAATATAAAACTGGGCACTATGACATGACTAGAAGAAAACCTAGGGGAAACACATTAGGAAATTGGTCTTTGCAAAGCTTCTGAGATAAGGCCTCAAAAGCACAGGCAACAAAGGGAAAAAACAGGCAAATGGGATTATACCAAACTAGAAAACTACTGCACCACAAAGGAAACAATCAACAGAGTGAAGACAATTTGCAGATGGGAGGAAATATTTATAATTATTCATCTGATCAGAGATGAATACGCACTTTAATTGATTCTCTAAAGTATTTATGTTTACAAAGTTTAATTTTTTCTATCAGTTTATCAATAACCTTTGCAGAGGTTTCTATATTAGTCATATGAGAGGGTTTCCAAAAGTTTGTGGAAAATGAAACTAAAAGATGTTGCATGTTTTCCATGAACTGTTGAAACCCCCACATATTTATCAATCTTTCATGGTTTCTGGGTTTTGTACTTTGTTTAGAAAAGGTTTCCCAGTGGCATATTTTTAACAGCTTGTGTTTTCCATGAATATGCATTCTAGTTTAAAAACTAAGATCTATATTAATACTATTTTGACTGAATTTTACTTAAAGAAATAGGAAGGGATTTAAGTTTATATTTTTCTAAGTCACCAGCCAAGTGTCCCAACACTATTAATTATCAGTTGTCTTTTCCTTCTTTATCTGAGGCACCTCATTATCAGATGCTAAATGCCGTCTGATTTCTGGACTCTATATTCTGTTCCATTGATCTTTCAGTATCAAACTCTTTTGATTGCCATAGTAATTACTATGCCTTTATAATGTATTTTAATAGTTGGTAGAGCTAGTTCTCTCCTCTCTTTTTAAAAAATCTAAACATTTCTTCAGGTTCTACCATGATACACTTCACTATCCTTTCTATAAATTAAAAATATTCGGATGGTGGTGTTTTTCTTTTTCTTACTGGAAACATATTGAACTTACAGACTAATTTATGATGAACTGATATGGTTTTCAACTGAGTCCCTCCACATTGGCAAAGGGACCCAAATTCTTTGGTCTGACTCCCAGCCACTCTGATATGGGATGTGTGGGTCTCTTAATAGCTGTGTCAAACACTTGCCTCTTATAATTTAACTTTATAAATAGAAGCCCTTACTGAATTTCCTTAAAGTTTTTGGCAGTTTCTTTTCAGTAGCATCTTAGATTTTATAGATATAAAATCACCACAATGTCAAAGAATAATTTTGTACCTTTCTTTTACCTTTTTACATTTTTTTATTTACCCCATGTGCTAATTACACTTGTTAGGATTTCCTGGTACATGCTACATGGTAGTACTGTGATGGGCAGCATTGACTCAGTGACGCCCTTAGCAGGAATTCTTCTAGTGCTGCACCTGATCTGTGGTTAAGGGAGTATCTATAGAACCCTGTATTGTTAGAAGTTTGTAAATGCATGCCCATGTCTGTATGTGTGTTTAATTGCATTTTGTAACTTTTAATCTATTAATGTATAATTACACTAATATTTTTCCTAACATGAAGTCATCCATTATTTCTTGAATCGTACCATACTTGAATACAGTGTTTTTTTTCTCCTCAATGAGTAACCAACTTCTGTTAGTTTATGTAAAGTTCATTTTAAAGGAATCTGTGTGTGTGTGTGTGTGTTTCCTCTTTTGTGTTTGTGTCTTCTTTGGAGAAAATGTTTGACCTCTGTACACAGAATTTGGAGAAGAGAAGTAAAAGGAAGATAAACCACTAAAGCTAAGAAGATGTGAATATGTAATTCTCATAAAAGGAACTACCAATGCTTAAGAAATATAAGGAAGTATTCTCAATATCACTTGTAACTTGATAATAGAAACTGACAATACCTTAAGTCTATCTTTCTCATATTTGTATCCTCAGTACCATTTTAAGAAAGATATATTCCTTCATATTTTACATGGGATCTTCAAAAAGTTCATAGAAATGCATATTATGAAAAAACTATGCATGTATTTCAATTTTTGGTGCCAAAATAAACTCATCTTTTAATTGCATAGTTCATGAACTTTTTGACTTTCTCTCTCATTGGCAATAACAACCACTTTTGTCCTCATAGATTCCCACTTCTGAGAAGTACAGAAGTTCATTTACAGAGTGAAAAGATTCTTTACATGGCCTGACAGGGGTCAGACTTCTGAACCTTCTCATGGGCCCATATGCCCACTTCCTTTTAAAATGCCACTTTAGGAAAGAACCTTTCTAAGTCAGTTTGACAAGTGCCCATCACCCTTAATATCTGGTCACTCTTGATATCTAACCAGGTTTCTCATCCTCTGCCATCCCCCAGGTGATGTCTGATCAGCCTGGCTTGTCTTCAGCAAGACAAGCTGACTGGTTTGCCAGAATCCCCCTCACCTCTATGTTTTCCCCTATAGTTTCCCATTCTCTCACCCTCGCTTTGTTCCTTAATTATCAGCTCCCACAAATCCATGCATATACTGAGTTGAATTCAATTTCTCTCCCCTACTGCAAGTCCTTATTGTAGTGAATCCTATACCTGTCACAATGGTTCCACAAAAGAGTCTCCCTCACCATGGTTTAACAAATGTCAGCAAGTAACTTCTCATCTTTGACAAGAGACACTGAGTTCTAATTCCTATAGTAGATAGAATAAAAGTTTTGGTGATCTCTACAAAATATTTTGTAACCTTTGACCTATTAACTAATGCAAGGTGATGTATCTTGGGGATTGCACTGTAAACTGGGCAAATACACAGTTTCTTTCAGCAGAGCAGTTCTTATACGCTAGCCTGGAATTTCACATTTAACTCAGACTCTGGAACGGCTGATGACTTTTAACCCAAACAGGGCATTTGAGAAATCTAGATCTGTTTTTTCACTTTTAGAGGGGACTGCTTCTGTTGGCCTTGATGGACCACAGGAAGGATGAAAGGAAATTATGTAAATTGAGGCCCTTTACAAATCTAACACAATGTGAAATGTCATTAGTATCATTAGTATTTCTAAGGACTGCAAGGAGATGCAGCACGATATAGCACAGTCAGTCTTTGTGATTAGAATTTCATAAAGAGCCCTACATGTTTTCCATATTAAATAAACAGACTTCCGGAGGAGAGGAACTTTCTGCTATTTCTACCTTTTCTCCACTCCTCATACCTCCCATGCTTCCTGCAATCCTCCCCTTCACCCACATCCACAGCCCTGCTTCTGCTACTACAGAGATTACAAAGGTGGCATTCACACCAGGGGCAAAAGGGCATATGGGAGAACATGCACGTCCTGTCCCAGCAAAGTCAGAGAGAAGCCCAATTCCTTCACTATGTGGCTGCCATGATGACTTTGAATATATAGTTTCAAATGTGTGGAAACTGAGGCTACTCACGAGACACAGAGGCACAGGGCTCCTGGTATAGACTCGCTGTCTCTCAACAAGAAGTTGCCATCCACCCCTTCCTGGAGCAACAAGGTTTCACAGTCCTGCTTGGTCAGAGGGCCATGGTAGTAAGACAGATCCATGGAGAGCCCTGTTGTATTTTAGGCTGTCCCGCTAGCTTGACATCCAACTCCAAGTCAAGGAATGGCTCTGAGAAGGGAAGGGAAGGCTGCTGACTTGAAAGGGCCTGTGGAAATATCTCTTCCTCTAGTGGTGTGGGAGTGGTGTGAGGTTGCTCTGTGGGACTCACCCAGTTTTATCAGATCAGGAAATGAGAAGGGCGGAAGTGATGAAGTGACCAAGACCCTTCAGGCTATAAACGGCTTTGATGTGACTCAGAGAAGTGAATGAGAGTACCTTTGGGGTCACAATGGATTTAGTGATGGTCCTCACTGGGGCTACAATGGAAAAGGCAACTCCCAGGAAACTTACTGCAACCTCATGTATTGCCAGATATCCCTAGTCTTTACCTTCTATGGCTACTGGTATTTTTTCCAGGGAGCACACCTTGTTCATTTTAATGACTACGTATTTCTGCTGATGTTGCCTCTAGTTAGTCAATGCTAAGCTCAGAAAGGGTGCTCAAAAAATGTTTGTGAGGCCAGCGCCGCGGCTCAATAGGCTAGTCCTCTGCCTGTGGCACCGGCACAGTGGGTTCTAGTCCTGGTCGGGGCGCCGGGTAAGTACCGGTTACTCTTCTTCCAGTCCAGCTCTCTGCTGTGGCCCGGGAGGGCAGTGGAGGATGGCCCAAGTACTTAGGCCCTGCACCCGCATGGGAGACCAGGAGAAGCACCTGGCTCCTGGCTTCAGATCAGCGCAACGCGCCAGCCACAGCAGCCATTGGAGGGTGAACCAATGGAAAAGGAAGACCTTTCTCTCTGTCTCTCTCTCACTGTCCACTCTGCCTGTCAAAAAAATTAAAAAAAAAAAATGTTTGTGATGATTTTTAACAGCCCTTGTCTCAACTGTTGAGGAACAGTTTTTTTTTTTTTTTCCCCACACTATTTGTTGACCTATTTACTTAGTGTTGGGTATAAAGTTAACAGATCTTTGTAAAAATTAAGAATGGGAATAAGAGAGAGAGGAGGAAGAAGGGTGGAAATGTGGGCAGAAGGGAGGGTAGGATGGGAAGCGTCACTATGTTCCTGAATAAATATATATGAAATACATGAAATTTGTAATACAATTTTTTGTAAATATAATTTTTTTTAAAGAAAAAAGTGTTTGGATGCTGAAGAGTTGATACACCTAGACACAATTGTTAGCAAAATGGTGCAGTCTTAGATGTGGCGTGATCTACACCCCGGACACAATCCTAGGCTCTAGCCCCCACTGCCATTGCTGGAAGCCAGGTGACCATATGGCCCAACCACAGGTGTCAGCTCCACTCCCACCCTAATGGGATTACTTGCTCCTACTTTCCTGCCCCATGACAAAGGTTTAACAGGACCTGTTTTCCACACATGTGTACTCTCTCTTACTTTCTTGCCCTCTCCCCCGGGCCCATTGGGCTTCCTCCACCCAACAATAAACCTTTCCTCTAACTCTTGTGTTTGGTGTGTTTTGTGGTGGCCTTATAACAATGGGACAATTGAAAAAGACTTCCACAGGTCAAACGACATGAGAAATGGAAGACATCAATGAGAACAGAAGCTATTGAACACCACTGGAGGACAGCCTTCAAGGCTCATTGCCACTGATGAACAAAGGCCATTTTTAACACTTTCACACAATATGACTTTTGGTGAAGGGTTTGGTCAAGTGAGAGGGATACCTGAGTATACAAATTAGTGTAAGAATGTCTCTTCGGCTGGCGCCACGGCTCACTAGGCTAATCCTCCGCGTTGCGGCGCTGGCACACCAGGTTCTAGTCCCGGTCAGGGTGCCGGATTCTGTCCCGGTTGCCCCTCTTCCAGTCCAGCTCTCTGCTGTGGCCCGGGAGTGCAGTGGAGGATGGCCCAAGTCCTGGGCCCTGCACCCCATGGGAGACCAGGAGAAGCACCTGGCTCCTGCCATTGGATCAGTGCGGTGCGCCGGCCGCAGTGCGCTGGCCATGGAGGTCATTGGAGGGTGAACCAACAGCAAAAGGAAGACCTTTCTCTCTGTCTCTCTCTCTCACTGTCCACTCTGCCTGTCAAGAAGAAAAGAAAAAAAAAAAAAGAATGTCTCTTTGAGTAGAAGAAAACATGTAATTAGGACTGAATTTGGAGACTCTTGCATCCTTTTAAGCTGCTATCCAAGAAGATAGCAGTGATGTTTTTCCATGAAGGAAGATCAAGAAAATTCTATCCAGTTATATTAGCTTGTGTTGATGAGAAAATCCCTTTCTAGTTTGCTGTCTTTCCTCCTTGATAGATGCACAGAAAGGTAGATAATCATGTGGTCTGTTAGCTGAGGGTCAGAGTTAATCCTTGGGTAATTGTGAAGATCTTTATGAGATACCAAACCAAACTCAACATTATTTATTAAATAATTATTAATTCCAGATAGAATAAACCATATGAGCGTACCTGTAATCCAATGGTTTAAACTGGATTCCACTTACTAAACTCTCACAATTACCATCAGACACTGTCACTTGTTACAAACTCGGTGTGAAGTTCTCTCCCTATTTAACTGCTTCACTTGAGTGTCTATGGGTAATCATTATACATCTCAAGTATGTATGCATGAAAACTGGCCAAATGCTCATGGTTCATCCTTATTCCTCTTATAAGTTCTTCTTAACCCAGCTGTGCATTTCTCTCACCACTTTGCTTATACCACACTCAGGGTGTATCTTTCTTGGAACTTTCTTGTATCAGGTCAAAGTTGTACCTCAAGTCCTGCTGTTCTTCCCCTTGGTATAAAGGAGTACCCTGATCAAAGACCGTGTTGTCAGAGATGTATTTCCACATCCCAATTTCTCTTGTAAGATATTGGACAATTCACTATTTAATTCCCAGGAAATATGGCAATTGAGGAGATTATTATAGATAAAAGAGAAGTTAGATTCCAAGGTTGGTATAAAGATGATTTTTGACATAAGAGAGGAAATAATTGAATGGTCTGGGAAAGCAGTGGAAGATGGCCCAAGTGTGTGGGCCCTTGCACCCCCATGAGACATTCAGATTGGCCCAGCTCTGGTCATAAAACATCCAAGGGGCTAGTGCTGTGGTGAAGCAGGTAAAGCCATTGCCCACAGTGCCAGCATCCTGTATGGTACTGGTTTGAATCCCAGCTGCTCCACTTCTGGTTCAGCTCTCTGTTATGTCTTGGGAAAGCAGTAAAAGATGGCTCAAGTCCTTGGGCCACTGAACCTGTGTGGGAAGACCTAGAGGAAGTTTCTGGCTCCTGGCTTTGGATCAACACAGCTCCAGCCATTGTGGACAACTGGGGAGTGAACCAGTGGATGGAAAACCTCTCTCTCTCTTGTCTCTCTCTCTCACACTCTGACTTTCAAATAAATGAATAAATCTTTTTAAAAAAGTCCAGAAAAGCATTACCAGAATCCTTCTCCACCATGACAATGCCCTTGCTCATTCCTGTCATCAAACAAAGGCAATTTTATGAAAATTCTCATGGAAAATCATTGTGCATCCACCTCAAAGTCCTGATATGGCTCCTTCTAACTTTTTTGTTTCCTAATCTTCCACAAATCTTTAAAGGGTACCCATTTTTCTTCAGTTAATAATTTTAAAAGACTGCAACAACATGCTTACATTCCAGGACCATCAGTTCTTCAGGAATGGACTAAATCGTTGGTCCTGAATTGATAGAGCTGATGTTGAGAAATAAAGCTTATTTTTTATATTTTTTTAATGTTTTAATGCCATTTTCCATTAATTTTGTGAAGTCCCCTAATGTTCATACATTGTGTGATGAAGGATTAACCTTGCTCGAAGATTTGACCCTTTCTCCAGCTCCATGGGGATAATGTCTGAGCCCTCAACTTGTGTCCTGCCTGACGAGAATCTCTTTGTTTGCCTGAGCCTTGGGCTATACAAAATAGCCTGTGTCAACAATGTGATTTATGATGGGAGTTATGGACCAGGTGGTGTTAGTTCAATCTCTGGAGGGGCTGGAGATTAAGGTTTGCCACATGAGTGGTCAGCCATGTCTACATGATGACTCTCCAACAAAATCTTTGAGTGCCAAGACTCAAGTGAGCTTCCTTGGTTGATAATATCTCATGTATATTGGCACATATTTCTGTTGGGAGAAATAAGCATTGTCTGCACAACTCCACCGGAAGAAGACAATAGTAAACTTTGTGTGTGCTGTATTCTGAACTCTGTCTTGTGTGTGTGTTCCTGGTACTAATTTTAACCTGCATCCTTTGGTTGTAATAAGTCATAATCATGAGTATTAGCTTTGCTGAGTTCTTTGGGTCCTCCTAACTAATTATTGAGTCTTAGGGTGATTTTGGAGAACCCTGAACTCAACATATAAAGCCTAAATATTTTTCATTGTACTAAAAAAGACAGAAATCTCTCCATTCAAATAAAAACAATACATTTGTCACCATAAGTTCATAAATAAGATACTAACCCTTACTATGAAAATATGCAATTAAAAAGGATCAATAATTCATTCTGTGTTTCCTCTGTGAGCTATACTTCATGGTAACCATATAATCTTAGAGATTTTTTTTAGAAAAAAACACATATATCATTGAAGCTATTTAACATATGTATTCTATTCTCAGATTAAATGCCTTCCTTAGTTTATTGAAAAAAAGCTTTCTATGTAAGAATCCCAGATAATAAATATAAAAGAATATAAATTTATCATAGAATATGAGCAAAAATCACCATTTTAATACATAGTAAAATAAATGATTCAGGCAATGAGTGCCATTGGATAAAAACTTTACGCAAACATTTGATAATGACCTTTACAAGAGAGAGGTGAACCCACTGATCAATCCTCATCTCTCTAAAAATAGAGCACCAGAAACTGAATTTCTATCAGTGTGATGCAATGGGAAACAAAGAACAGTTCCACAAAATGTACTTCCCAAAAAGGTTGAACCTGAAAACTAACCCAGCCCTTGTAACTGATTTCTAGTTTATTTGTGAGAACAGAACAAGAAGTCATCATACATAATGAGGAAGCAGACAGAAGAATTCAGATTAAGGGACATTCAATACAAAAAACACAATTTTTTCCCCAAAGGTCATAAAAACTGAGTTGGATGTGGGGTGAAGACCACTGTCATTTAAAAAGAGATTTATGAAGTAGGCA